TTCTTTATCTTGTGACTATATTTTTTTTACTATTTTTACTGCTTTGCCTACATTTATTCTTCACTAAACCACTTGCTTATTTTATCAAGCTGGTGTAATGTTTAATAATAATAATAATAATAATAATAATAATAACTTTATTTATACCCCGCTACCATCTCCCCAAGGGACTCGGTGCGGCTTACATGAGGCCGAGCCCGCAATACAATCAATACAAGCAATACAAGCAATAACAATACAAAGCAATTAAAAATAAAACACATACACAAATAGCATAAACGTTAAACAAATACAGTGCACATTTAAAACTATGGCTGGGCCAAATGTAATTAAAATTTAAAAAATAATGCTAGGCATGGACAAGATGCAGGAGATGGGGTGATTGATGGAGAAATACCAGCAGACCTAAATCAATATAAAGTGCTTTGTGGGACATAGTGCTAGGGTTCATTACTCTGGGAAGGCACACTGGAACAACCACGTTTTCAAGCTCCTCCTGAAGACTGCCAAAGATGGGGCATGCCTGATGTCTTTAGGGAGTGAGTTCCAGAGTCGAGGGGCCACCACTGAGAAGCCCCTCTCTCTCGTCCCCACCAATTGCGTTTGTGATGCAGGTGGGAGTGCGAGTAGGGCCTCTCCAGATGATCAAAGAGATCGTGTGGGTTCATACACAGAAATGCGGTCACAAAGGTAGGCGGGTCCCAAACCGTTTAGGGCTTTGTAGGTAAGAACCTGCACCTTGAATTGGGATCGGAAAATGAATGGCAGCCAGCGGAGCTCCTTAAACAGGAGGGTTGACCTCTCCCTGTAAGGTCAGAGATGTTCCTGCTTTGAAATACAACAGAAGAGGATATATTTTACAGACATTTCTTTACCTGTGGTCTTCTCATCTAACGGCATGCTCCACTGTATGGCTTTGATCATTGATGCGTGTGAATGAGCATCAGGTCCTGAATTCGAAACAGGGTGTGTCAAATCTAACTCTTAACCTGAATTCTTATGAGATACTTATCCTGTGCCTTAATTATGCTCCAGAACCAAACCAGGAAGCCAGGGAGGCTGGGAGTCAACTGGAAATAATTGCCTAACAATTACTTGACTCTTTCCTTCCACAATCTTGTGACATCAACATTTGCCATAAGAGCAAATCTAGATGCCCTAAATAATAAAAAACAGAGTGACTTGAGCATCTGAGTCATGAAGGTGAACCCAGATTATGTGACCCATATTTTCAATATTACCAATAAAAATATGCACAAATTGTACTCAAGAGACATTTGCCCCAAACTCAGTATTCCACACAGTTTCAATATGGAAAGATGGATGATGTGTGTATGCAAACATTTAAGACAATGAAACCATTACACATTGCAATTGCATACATGTATGGGCATGGCTATTTGTTAAGCATCTCAAGATTATAAAATCAATGATGCAGAGAAACTGGGAACCTTTCATTGAAGTAATATCAACTTTATCCTTCAATTGGAAAAATGGCTGAAGCATATTATTATTATTGACACAAAAGCACAGTATGTCACAGCAAACGAGATCTATATGCTGGATTTCGTATCACAAAATCACAAGTCGAACACTTCCCAAGCGTCTAGGACTGTGTGATGTATTTTCGAATGATGCGCGCAGATCCAAGTAAGGCGGCCTTTTGAAATTGACAGATTGTGATTTTCTCGATGTTTATTGTTTCCAAATGCCGACTGAGATCTTTTGGCACGGCACCCAGTGTGCCAATGACCACTGGGACCACGTGTACTGGTTTATTCTTTGCATTATTATTATTATTATTATTATTATTATTATTATTATGTTTATTTATACCACACTTTTTCTCTCCACGACCCATTTCAAAACCCATGGTTCTATCTTATGGGATCTTGGGGTTTCCATTGTAGTGCTTAACCAAACTACAAATCACAGGATTTAAAGGCTTGTAACCATGGCAACTAGAAGTGTTATAATTGGTTGATGTAAAAGGGTCTCTTGGGATGTGTATGGAAAATGATATTAAAACGGAATGAGTGACCAAGGAGAAAGGATATTATAGTCATAGGAAGCTTGCTTTGGAGACTAAAACACTTAGAGTCCGCCAGGCCAATTTGGCCAAGACACATTAGATAGAGTTGTTTAATATCGATTTACTTCATTAGATAAACAAATTATCTTTAAAATGTTCAGATGTGCACCTATCTTCAGAGGCGGCCCTAGGTAATTTTCAAAGGCAAGCAAACAGTATTTTGGCGCCCCCCCCCCCCCCCCCCAACCAATCATTGATATATATTTTCTGTTCGTCGTCGGAGTTCTGTGTGCCATATTTGGTTCAATTCCATCATTGGTGGAGTTCAGAATGCTCTTTGATTGTAGGTGAACTATACATCCCAGTAACTACACTTGCCGCACTTGCTCCCTTGCCTGGCCCGCTTTGGGTCCGGAGGGGTGTGCCTGAAGACCCCGGCGTGTGCACCAAAAGTCACCTCTTCTCCTGATTTTCTCCTCAGCCATTGGGACCAAGAGAGAGAGAGAGAGAGAGAGAGAGGTGGAGATGCCCACCTTTCCTGAAGGTAGGTGCAAAAACAAAGGAGGGAGCAGAGGAGGGTCTCTCTCTCTCTCTCTCTCTCTCTTGGTCCCAATGGCTGAAGAGAAAGTCAGGAGAAGAGGCGACTTTTGGTGTGCACGCTGGGTCTTCAGACACGCCTCCGGACCCGAAGCGGGCCAGAGCGGCGGCTCCACCCCTTGGCCCACCCGCGGATTGGGGGGAGGAGAAGAGGGTGGAGTGCCGCGGGATCGGAAAAAGGAGCCGGTCATGGGGAAGGGATCAAACGCAGAGAACGATTGAGCGCCGGCTCTGCTCGCGCACCCGGTGGCCGGGTGGAGCAGGAACGAGAGGGGCTAGGCGAGGCTCAAGGGCCCGGCCCCTTTGGGAAGAGGATCGCCCGGCAGCGAGGCAAGAAAGCCGAGGCTCCCCCCGGACTGCTAGGGCTGTTGTGAGCTGAGGGGGCGCTCCTCAAGTGGCGGTCGAGGGGCATTTACAGAGGCGCCTCTGTGCCCCTGGCAAAAAAAAGTGTTCTGCGACCGCTTACTTCGCGTAATGGACGAGCCGCCCCTGCCTCCAAGGAAAGAGAGCCCGTCACTGCAAGTCCCGAGCAGGGATGTTGTTGGAGGTCTTTCATAGGGTTGAATTGATGGAGCATAACAACAAGCACCTCTTTAGCAAAGATAAAATAAAATATAAAATAAAATAACTTGTCTTCACCAACATAAGGTTGGTTGTGTAAGACAATATGACACTTGGTAATGCAGGTAATATGTTCCTGAACTTATCATGAAAACAGGAAACCATAGATAATAACAAACTTAACGCCTTTGCCAGAAGTTACCATAGAGCTATCCCAGAGGACCTTGAAAATTCTTCTCCTGGAATTTGCTAGTTTCCATTGGAAACATATCACAGAATTACCTGGAGAACCTAGGAAATGACTAGTTTGTCATATTTTATCTGATATGTGTAGGTGAAGCCACACATACTGGTTCCATGAGTGGGGGGGGGGGGGGGTAATAATAATAATAATAATAATAATAATAATAATAATAATAATAAACTTTTATTTATACCCCACTAACATCTCCCGAAGGCTTACAAGAGGCTGAGGCCTAACACATCAATAAAACAACAGCATAACAAATACAACAATAATAATAAATAACTCATAAAACAAGAAATAAACATTAAAGCAATAGCAATTAACACCATTACACATTTAAACTAAGGCCGGGCCAATGTAATGATTAAAAAAATTTAAAATGCTGGGCATGCCAGGTGAAATGGATAGGTTTTTGGAGATAGGTGCAATGTGCAGACAATCTTAAATCTCTAATAAAGTGCATTTGGGACATGATGCTTGGAGTTTCGTATTCTGGGAAGGCACACTGGAACAACCACGTCTTCAAGCTCTTCTTAAAGACTGCCAATGTTGGGGCCTGTCTGATGTCCTTGGGGAGAGAGTTCCAGAGTTGGGGGCCACCATGGAGAAGGCCCTGTCCCTCGTCCCCACCAATCGCACTTGTGACGCAGGTGGGATCGTGAGCAGGGCCTCTCCAATGATCGAAGAGATACTGCACACAAAGTTCCCTTGTGGCATAAGACATGGATGTATTGTGGTTACCTCCTTTTTGCTGGTTGCATGGCAAAGCATTGAATTTATATCAGAAAGGTCTTTGGCATTTGGAGGTGGAGATAGTTCTTTAAATCATATCTCTGTGACATGGAAGCTAGGTGCCAGTCAACATGGTTTGTGCCTGCACACTTTTACTGTCGCAAAAGACTTGCAGTTTGAGACTGGAAAGATAAACCATCATCATCTATAATTTCATTGGCACTACTTTAGCTATGCACAAATGTCAATTTTATAGGTTTCAGCCTCAAAAAAAAGTTACTAGAAAGAGTCTGTTTATATTAATGCTCAAAGGGGCCAACTGTTGGGGCCAGGAGTTAAAATGATTCCCCAAAAGAGATTAGGGTTCACTCCTCTCTGTCTCTTCACTCTCCATTTTTTTAAGAGTCACCTTAAATGTGTCTTGAAGAAATGGGTGACAATTTTACCATGCCTTTGCTTCTCTCTTTGGCCATTTTAATTCCAGAAAAAAATGTTTATTCCAACAGGAAATGATTTAGAAGTTGACCCAAAATATGTTCTTAGATGCCACAGAAACAACCCTGGGGCCCACATGTGTTCCATGCCCCAGCGTCAATCTCACTCCTGTTCATATCCTGCATATTTGCCTTTCTCTTCCTTTTTCCCTCTCCTCATCTGTGTAAACATAGTTTTAAAATCCAATTTTAAGGAGGAAGGGAGGAGAAAAATTGTCAGCCTGAAATACACAACTAGCTCCATTTTATCCATTATCCATTTCTGGTTTGATATGGTTAAGTAGGAAATGGACTATTAATATGGTTTTGTATTTTATTCTCCCTCTTTTCTCCTTAGGCTTGGGTGAGCAAAGCCTCCAGAGACTTTTGCCACCATGGACTGGAAGACGTTGCAAGGCTTGTTGAGCGGGGTGAACAAGTATTCCACGGCTTTTGGGCGCATCTGGCTCTCGGTCGTCTTTGTCTTCAGGGTCCTGGTTTATGTGGTGGCGGCCGAACGAGTTTGGGGAGACGAGCAGAAGGACTTTGACTGCAACCACCGGCAACCTGGGTGCACCAATGTCTGCTACGACCACTACTTCCCCATCTCCCACATCCGCCTGTGGGCCTTGCAGCTGATTTTCGTCACCTGTCCTTCCCTGCTGGTCATCATGCATGTGGCTTATCGCGAGGACAGGGAAAGGAAGAACCGGGAAAAGAATGGGGAGAACTGTCCCAAACTCTACAGCAACACAGGCAAGAAACATGGCGGCCTTTGGTGGACTTACCTCCTCACCCTCTTCTTCAAACTGGGCATAGAGATTGTCTTCCTCTATCTCCTGCATCGGATATGGGACAGTTTTGACCTGCCACGCTTGGTCAAGTGTGACCTCGATCCGTGCCCAAACACAATAGACTGCTACATTGCTCGTCCTACAGAGAAGAAGATCTTCACCTACTTCATGGTTGGCGCCTCTGCCCTCTGCATTGTCCTCACCGTGTGCGAGATATTCTATCTCATCTTCAAGCGAGTGGTCCGCTCAATGCAAAAGCTGAAGAAGAAGAAGCGGTCGCTCACCTACAGCAAGGCCTCCACCTGCCCATGCCATTCAAGGATGGAGCATGATGGGAAGTTGAAGATCTCACCTGTGGAGGCCTTGAGAGCCTCCGCACCCAACCTGACTTTAATCTGAGAGAAGGGGAGGGAAGGGCACCTTCAAAGTGGTTGGCTTCCAGTTGGATTTTTTTTAGTAAGTGGCATTTTGAAACATAAGATGGAGTAGGATGGCTCAAAACTGATGAGATCTCCCCCTTGGGTTGTGAAAGAAGCATCCACAAGGGGAGAGACCACCATGTTTGAAGGGAATCATCACTATGTTTGTTGAAGCCTGAAAAGCAAAACTATGGCCTTTCCTACCTGTTTACATGTTATTATAACTACACTCAAAATGCATGATTCAGACATTCCAGCACAAGATGTGGGTTTGCCCATTATTGGAGAACATTGCAACCCTTCAAACCTTAAAGTTTATGCCTATCTCAGAATATTTGATTAATTTAGCTGAAAGAGTCATATCTACACAACATACTTTATGGTCATTAGAAGATCCATAGCAGCCAATGGCCTTTAGCTTTTGTTTATTCCTTCTTCTAATCATACAGTTGCTGCAGAGAGTTGCAGAGTCACTACTTTGGGCCAAGAGGAGCTATAATTAAGGACATTATTGACTCAGGAAGTCTTTTGAGACCAAAGTTGTCTTGCAGACCAAGGGTTTCTCAAAAGGACTACGCTTCTGTGGTCTGCAAACTAAGCCACTAGGATCAAATAGAAACACTGCTTTTTTCCGTCAACCAGATGTTTGCATAAGAAATTCTCAGTGAATACGGTCATGGAGTATGAGCCCCCACAACCATGGGATGTTTAACCATCGTGTCACCTACCCACATCCAACAAAACAATCCCTTACTAGGAATGTTCTAAATCCTCCAGGAGATTCTATGGCATGGTTCTGTCAGACGTTAACATAGAGTTGCAATGGGGAACCTTACATATCTAGGTTCTCCAGGGCAACTCTAGGATAACTTCCAGTAGGAATCATTCATTTCAATAGGATCCACCATGGTTTCCTTTTTCTGTGGTATGTTGCAGATACAAGGGTCATTCTACATATCTCCATAGAACACTAATGGGATTTGAAAGGAGTCAAGGGTTTCTTAATGCAAAATGTCTTGTGGAGGAGGGATCTAGGCTAATTTATAGTTCATATGAAGGAGAAGAACCTTTATGTCTCTCTCTTGGACCCTTCTCTAGAGTAAGTGCTTTTATGCTGAATTGTCTACACACTTTTCATACATAACTCCAAAAGAAAAAATCTGTTCCACAAAATCAAACTAGAATACCCTAATATTCTTCTCTGGTACAACTTCTGATGTGGTCTTGTCATCCGTCCTGTAGAAGACAAAGGCATTCTGGAGAGGTGACATTTGATTCTGCTGTAATCCTGTCTACCATGAGATTGTAAATGAATTGCAAGTGTTCCTCCTCAGAGGATTCCATGGTGGAATTTCATATTAAGCCAAGATCCTCCGAAATGGCTCAGCTAGTGGAGTGTATGGATCACGAACATCCTTAGGGAGCAACTGGATTTATGTAGATATCTAAAAGGGGCAGCAGATCTGCTCCACAGAGTTTTGAAGGAAGCAATGAGATGCTGAGAAGTTCTCAAAAACTTCTCAAGTTAATGGCACATAACTTCAGTAAGAATTCCATGAAAACTGGGCCATCTACAAATTGTGGAATTTGCAATTTTGTAAAGCACCAACACTCTTTAGCAGAACTGACTAAAGCAGTTAAAGTGCTTTCAAACAGCATTACATCTAGAATGTAGATCCATCCTGAGTCATACCATTAATCTATCTAGCTCAGCTCTTCCTTGTCCAACTTTCTCTAGAAATGTATGTATGAACTATTTCCATCCTCTCTTGCCAACTTGGCCAATATGAATTTGTTACAGTACCAGCATAGAGGAGGAAATGGACTGGTATGAATATTGACCATCGTCTCCATAGCAGCATTACATTACCATCCAAACATCTCCAATGTAACTTGATAGCTAGCAAATGGAACAAACTGCTTAGGGAGTTCTTTCTAGCATCGTGGTGACCAGTTGGATTTTTTTATAGTTATAGTTTCAAGAATATGGAGACCTGGATGAAAAGCTGGAGTGCAGCATGAAAATATAGTTATAAAAGAGGAGAGAGAGAGAGAAAAAACAAATGATATGTCAATCCACCAAATAATAACTACAACTCTGAACATGATGGTTAAATGAAACCAGGGGCAGCTCATCCATTACGCGAAGTAAGCGGTCGCAGAACACTTTTTTTTTGCCAGGGGCGCAGAGGCGCCTCTGTAAATGCCCCTCGACCGCCACTTGAGGAGCGCCCCCTCAGCTCACAACAGCCCTAGCAGTCCGGGGGGAGCCTCGGCTTTCTTTCCTCGCTGCCAGGCGATCCTCTTCCCAAAGGGGCCGGGGCCTTAAACCTCGCCTAGCCCATCTTGTTCCTGCTCCACCCAGCTACTGGGTGCGCGAGAGAGAGAGATCCCCTCCAGCTGGAGGTATCTCCCACCTCCGCTCCCTCCTTTGTTTTTGCGCCTACCTTCAGGAAAGGTGGGCACCTCCACCTCTCTCTCTCTCTCTCTCTCTCTCTCTCTCTTGGTCCCAATGGCTGAGGAGAAAGTCAGGAGAAGAGGTGACTTTTGGTGCACACGCCGGGGTCTTCAGGCACGCCTCCGGACCCAAAGCGGGTCAGGCAAGGGAGCAAGTGCAGCAAGTGTAGTTACTGGGATGTATAGTTCACCTACAATCAAAGAGCATTCTGAACTCCACCAATGATGGAATTGAACCAAATATGGCACACAGAACTCCCACGATGAACAGAAAATATATATCAGTGATTGGTTGGGGGGGGCGCACCAAAATACTGTTTGCTTACCATTGAAAATTACCTAGGGCTGCCTCTGAATGAAACCTATCCTCCACCATAGGCTTTGTATCCTATTTTTATGGGCTGTCATACTTTTATGACTTCAAGGCATGGTGGAAACCTGTTGCTATAGAGTTAAGCTGTAACTCCCAACAATCCCTGCACTGAGGGATAATTAGACTCGCAACCCAGCATCCAAAAAGCAAAAAGAACCCCCTTTTGGTAAAGTTCAGAAGAAATTTTCTGGATGAGGATATCCCTGGGTTTTCCGAGACTATTCTTTTCAATCCTCCTCTTAAACAGATAAGCTGATCCATTTTGCAAAGTAGTCTTTTTGCATATTCCCTGCTGTTTGCATTTTGAACTCAGTCTGCAGCAATTAGAATAAGCTGAGGGTAAAGGGGGAAGCCGGGAGAAGGAAACCGGGACATTTTAGCAGGATTACTTAGGATTATTTCAGACAAACAATGACAGTTGGAGAATATAACATTTCTCACTGCCTATACCAAGAACTGTGGTGGAACACTCCATAAAACATATGGGGACCATGAGTTGTACAATCTCAGTCCTTGCCTCAAAGAGTAAATGTCCTACCATTCCAGCTTTTCTTTCAGTGATCTTGGATAAAAGATCAACAGGGCTATATATGCACCTGAAACTCCTTTGTCCACGAGATTCTTGCTCTTTTTTTTGTTTGGAAAGGGTTTGTTGGCAACCAAACACAAAGGAAGTGTTGACAAATGACTACAAAGAAAAAGAATTGGCTTGAAAGAAGGCTGAGGGTAAAATAGCAAGCATGAACCTGAAAAGTTTGGCAAACAGGTAATACAAAAAGCATTTGGAAAAGGGTTAAAAAGCTCTTGGAAGTCAAAGAAAAGTACACAAAGGTTGCAGGAAGGGAGATAAGTTAAACCGTCTCAAAAGAAAGTTCACTGGATTTAGGACAGGCATGGGTAAACTCTGACCCTCCAAGTGTTCTGGACTTCAACTCCCACAATTCCTAACAGTCTACCGGCAATGATTTTTGTCAAACTCTATAACAGGAATATATATAGTCTTTATGCCCCCTCCAAAAGCTAAAAATGCCACTAAAGGAGCACAGAGACATTTTAACCACTTTTGGGGATGCTTCCAAGCCATTTTAGGCCCAGAAAAGGGTTGTTTTTATATAACAGGAATTGACATGGAAGTCCATTTGCTCTATTGACTTATCCTGATTTTGTAAAAAGTGACCCTGGGGTGGCCCTGTTTATAGGCTGCACTTTGCCCACTATTAGGTACTCACCATAGGATAACCAGATTGTGCCTACTGCTGGCTTAGAATCATAGAGTTGGAAGAGACCTTGAGGGCCATCCAGTCTGACCCCATTCTGCCAAGAAGCAGAAAAATCACATTCAAAGCACCCTCGACAGATGGCCATCCAGTCTCTGTTTAAAAGCCTTGAAAGAAGGAGTCTCCACCACACTCCAGGGCAGAGAGTTCCACTGCTGAACAGCTCTCACAGTTAGGAAGTTCTTCCTAATGTTTAAGTGGAATCTCCTTTCCTGTAGTTTGTAGCCATTGTTCCACATCCTAGTCTCCAGGGCAGCAGAAAACAAGCTTACTCCCTCCTCCCTATGACTTCCTCTCACATATTTTATACATGACCTTCATAATGTCTCCTTTCAACCTTCTCTTCTGAAGGCTAAACATGCCCAGCTCTTTAAGCCGCTCCTCATAGGGCTTGTTCTCCAGACCCTTGATCATTTTAGTTACCCTCCTCTGGACACATTCCAGCTTGTCAATATCTCTCTTGAATTGTGGTGCCCAGAATTGGACACAATATTCCAGGTATGGTCTAACCAAAGCAGAATAGAGGGGTAGCATTGTCGACATCTCCCTTCAATTGCAGTGTTTGGAGATTTCAGCACTGGGACTTAGCGACAACTTCTAGCAAAGTTACAGTGGACTTGTCCTGGTGATTAAAAATGAGAAAGGTTACCTAGAGCAGCCCCTGGTAACGACATTAGGCATGATACAATGGGCATGAAAGACAATTGTACACAAGCATGCCACTGAAATAAATAAACGCCAGGCCTAATGAATGTGGAAAGTATATACACTTTTCAAAGCTGTGCTCTCACCTTGAGATCCTTCCACCTTGTGCTAAGGACCAGAGCCAAGGCTCTGAGATCTAGGAATCATCTCCAGCAGAGTTAGGGTTCATATTGAAATGTTTTTAGGATGGTGCCTAATATCTGCCACACCTTTCAGGTTGTTCTGTTCCTTGTGAACCTTACCTTAGTACTTAAGGAAGTTGGAATGAGGAGGTATTTTCCCAGTGGTAGCATAACTTCCAACATTTCACATATGGAAACCAGGAATTGTATGGCCAAGCAACATCAGGATATGATCATGTTGGCAACAATTATGAATAAAGAAAAACACGCCATCTATGAAAGGCTGCTGCAGGTTGCTTTTGCTTGAGCCTAGGACAGTGTTTCTCAACCTTCCTAATGCCACGGCCAGGGGCGGCTCAACCCATTACGCAAAGTAAGCCTTTGCAGTATAGTTGATTTTGCCCAGGGGCGCTCTTGAGGCGCTCTTGGGGGAAAATAGACCTTGACATATGCGAGTTGGAGTTACTGGGATGTATAGTTCATCTACAATCAAAGAGCATTCTGAACTCCACCAATGATGGAACTGAACCAAATATGGCACACAGAACTCCCACGATGAACAGAAAATATATATCAGTGATTGGTTGGGGGGGGGGGGTGCCAAAATACTGTTTGCTTACCATTGAAAATGACCTAGGGCCGCCTCTGGCCACGGCCCCTTAATACAGTTCCTCATGTTGTGGTGACCGCCAACCATAAAATTATTTTCATTGCTACTTCATAACTGTAATTTTTCTACTGCTATGAATCATAATGTAAATATCTGATATGCAGGATGTATTCTCATTCACTGGTCCAAACAGCTTTGAGTCCCCCTCGGGGTGAGAAAAGAGGTATACAAATACTGTAAATAAATATACAAATACTGGCACAAATACCTGACATGCTCAAATTTGAATACTGGTAGGGTTGAGGGGATTGAACCAAACTTGACACACAGGACTCCCATGACCAACAGAAAATACTGGAAGGGTTTGGAAGGCATTGACCTTGAGTTTTGGAGTTGTAGTTCAGCTACATCCAGACAGCATTGTGAACTCGAACAATAATGGATCAGGATCAAACTTGGCACAAATACTCAATATGCCCAAATATGAACACAGAAGGAGTTTGGGGAAAATAGACCTTGACATTTGGATGTTGTAGTTGCTGAGATGTATAGTTCACCTACAATCAAAGAACCCCTTGAACCCCACCAATGATAGTATTCGGCCAAACTTCCCACACAGAACCCCAAGGACAAACAGAAAATACTGGAGGGATTTGGGAGGAATTAACAGTTGTTTAGGGGAGAGCACGCCTGCTCACCAGCTCTCCCCTCCCTACTTGGAGTCTCAGAAACAGCCCTCCCCTTCACTGAGAGGCCAATTGAGAGGCCAGCCAATCACAGTGGAGGAGGGCTTTTGGTGAGATGATTCACCCTCTGTTTCCAAAAAGAAAGAGGAGAACAGGTGGAGTGATCTTCAGCCTTCTCTGCCAAAGGGGTTACTAAGACCATCAGAAATATGTGTTTTCCGATGGTCTTTGGTGACCCCTCTGAAACCCCTCCTCATGTCCCCCCCCCCGAGGCCCTGACCCCCAGGTTAAGAAACACTTGCCTAGGGGAAAGTCAAGGGTCAGCCTCTTCTTTCCTATCCTCTTTGCTATGTTAGTTGAGTGCAATCTACTTTTACACTTTGAAAACAGTTTTCAGCAATTGAAGTAAACTAAAGGCAAATGGAAAAGTGGGATGGAGGGAGTGCAAAAACAAGGATATTTAAAAAGCGACTGGAAAAGCGGGATGACAGAGGAGTAATCAGGACTGTCCTTGCCAAATATGGATAGCTGGAACGTATGAACAGGATGAACTTGCACCGGCCGGAATACTTTATTTCAGGAAAGGGTTACAATAAGTGAAATTGATAAAGAATTGGGAATGAGAAGGAAAAGATGAATTATAGTGAATGGGTTGTAGGTGCATCAAAGCCGATCTTCAATGAGGAAGAGAGTTTCGAGGGAAGAAATTATGGAGTCCAACAGAGCAAAGCCACCATCTCCAGCTCCCTCCTCCGCCTCTCACTTCCTGCCTTGGAGGAAATTGTGATTTCACGGCAACCACAGTGCAGATGGACTTTCAGGGCATCAGGCCAAGTCCTGCTGTTCCTGGACCAGGTGCCTGCTGCCTTATCCCTGTGGCATCGGCCAATTTGGCCAAAACATTCGCTAGACTCCTCTGTACTCCGCGCAAGACCTATCTGCTCCTTAGTTGCTGAACAAATATTATGTTTGCCTAGCGAACCATGTAATGCGAAAGGTCAAATAAAATGTTACTTTGTTTATATGCATGTGTGCCAGGTTCTTTACTGCCAACACAATGGGATATTATGGAAAGGAGAGAAGGCATCTGGAAGAAAGGAAGGAATGCTAAGCATTTTAGAGCCATGCACTTAGAGGAAGCTTATCTAGAACAGCTTACTGAGGGAGGGCAGCGTTCTCCAACTGGATGTGTCGTAGTCTAATGCCCATAGCTCCTGCCACAGTGATACCGCAGATGATAAAGCATGCAACCAGAGGGTCAGCAGGTTGGGAGATCATGGATTTGGAAGAGTTGGGCCATCCAGTTCTACACCATTCTGCCATGCACACAGCCAATCTACTCTTGGTGGATGATCATCCATTCTCCAGAGGAAGACCACTATCAGGAGGTTTTCCCTACTGTTTAGGTCAGTGGTTCTCAACCTTCCTAATGCCGAGACCACTTAATACAGTTCCTCATGTTGTGGTGACCCACAACCATAAAATTATTTTCGTTGCTATTTCATAACTGTAAATTTGCTACTGTTATGAATCATAATGTAAATATCTGATATGCAGGATGTGCTGTCACACGGTGGGCCTGTACATAAGACTGTAGACAGGACATAAATTCTGTGTGCCCAACAGGACGCCGGGGCTGCCTCAGATTAAAGGCCTTTGGATTTCCTTAAACAGTCTTTAGATTGCTTAAAGGTTCAACAATCTTTATTATTGAAATCAAACAGGTACTTCAAGGCTTTCTTAATAGTCTATTGGCTCTCTCAATCTTGTCCACAGGGGACAGGCACTATCTTGACTGTATTTTAACGACTGGGGAAATCCTTAACCTCTTATCTGGGAAGTCTGTCTTTGCCTCTGATGGCGTGGAGCCCCTACACCCGGTACCAACTGCTTCTGGCTGCCGCGAGTGACCCTTACCAAGCAGAGCTTTGTAGACTTCCAGGGGAAAAGAAGGTGTTCAGGTTTCAGTGATGGCTGGCTGAAGTGCTGTGGGACCGGATTCCCTCAGCAAAGGAGCTGTAAGGCTGTAAAATCCTCAGCAAAAGGGCTGTGCTGAGACTGCATCTCTCTGGCCAAACTATGGGCTGTATCTCCTCGGCCAAGCTATGAGGCCTTTTCTCCCCGGCCAAGCTGTAGAAGACGAAACTTTCTACAGGAGCTCCTGGTTTTATGTCCTGTATGAAAGGCTTCTTTGTGTGGACTGACCCAAAATGGCTCCTATTCCCTCCAAAACCCAAAAAGGGGCCAGGACCAGGGAACCTAGTGATAATTGACAGGTGGCTTGCCCTATGATTGCAGCCAAAAGAAACCACCTATCTGCAGAGTCCCTGAAACTTAGGACTACAACAAACGTTCAATGCACACCAAACAAAATTGGAGCTCCTGGTACAGCTGTACCTGCACACAGGGTGTATTTTCATTGCTGGGATTTATAGTTCACCTACAATCAAAGAGAAGACTGAACTCTACCAACAATGGAATTGAACCAATCTTGGCACACAGAACTCCCATGATCAACAGGAAAGTACTGGAAGGGTTTGGTGGGCATTGACCCTGAGTTTTGGAGTTGTCGTTCACCTACATCCAGAGAGCATACAATGATGGATTTGGACCAAACTTGGCACAAATGCTCAGTATGCCTAAATGTGAACATTGGTGGAGTTTGGGGAAAATAGACTTGACACTTGGGAGTTGTAGCTGCTAGGATTAATAGGTCACTTACAATCAAAGAGTATTTTGAACACCGCCAACATTAGAATTGGGCCAAACTTC